ATTCTCTTCAATCTGATCTAGATTGAAGCAACCTAGAACCAAGGAGAAATTTCCTGACAGTGTGGACAATTAATCAGTGGAACAACCTGCCTCCAGTGGGTGTGAATGCTCCAACACTGGAGGTTTTAAAGAAGAGATTGGACAGCCATTTATCTGAAATGGTATAGGATTTCCTGCTTGAGCAGGGGGGTGGGCTATAAGACAGTGGTGGAGAACCTACGGCACGGGTGCCAGAGATGGCACTCAGAGCCCTTTCTGTGGGCACGCACGCCATTGCCCCAGACCCGCCTCCCCTCACAGCCCCCTCCCCAGCAGCCCCCCCGGAGGAGAGTCGCCCCTGAGCGCAGCCCGTGTGGAGTAGCGCAGCCAAGGACATGGCAGCTGGGCAGCAGGTACAAGTCTTTGCCCTTGCACCCGCCGCGCGCAGTTAATGCTGCGGGGCGCAGGTGGAGGGCATGGCTGCCATGGCACTGCTGGGCCGCCTGGGTGTTCTGTGACGGGCCGTGGAGGTGGTGGGTGGCCCTGCGGGCGGGCAGTTCGGGGGAGGGTGGGGGGTAGTTTGGGGGCACTCGGTCTCTAAAAGGTTCGCCATCACTGCTATAAGACCTCCACGGTCCCTTCCAACTCTATTATTGTTATTGTTGTTGTTGTTGTTGTTGTTGTTGTTGTTATTATTATTATTATTATTCTTATTCTTATTATTATTATTATTATTATTATTATTATTATTATTATTATTATTATTATTATTATTATTATTATTATTATTATTATTATTATTATCCTCTCTTTTCCTTGTCACCGGATGACTAGGGATTGGGGCTCCTCTCTTGACTACAGAATTTTGGACCAGTTCCTTCATTGCCCTGTGCATTTTGCAGGACTTCCAAATAGAAAAAGCAGGGGAAAGAATGGCCAAACTGTTTAAGAAAGGACGGAGGTGAGCCTTCATTTGAAGAAGTGCGAGACGGCTACGATTCTTTCAAGGGCCCCCCCAGGGCCCCCTCTTCCTAGGGTGGGTCTCTTTACAGAGGCTGTTTTGCCACTGCAGCGTTTCCTGCACTGACAGGGAGGTGATGCAACTTTGCAAATCATTCCGGGAAATTTCGCACAGAAGGCGGCAGCTTCCCAAAGGATATTTTTTTTTTTACCTTTGGAAGCACAGGATGTATTTTAAATATTACAAGAACAGTCAAAGGGACATCCAACGTCAACTTAAACATTTTTTTTTCTAAAAAGAAGAGTTTTAGTCAAGCATTTGCTCTGGGATCCACCAGGGGGCCCCTATTCTTACACATTCTCACCACCGATGTTAATAACTAGGCTGATTTGTCATAAAATAAATAAAAAGGAAACGACCCCAACAGCCAGGCCTGGAGACCTCTTGGCACGCCTGGCCTTCTGCAGAAAACTGACTCAGTTCTCCAAAGAATCACAAGGGATGCAGACTGTGGCTTAAAGTTAAATCTCATCCTGGCTGCGACGCGTATGAACTTTCCTCCGGCTTACCTGTCTCAGTTTGGCCATGGATTCGCTGGGGATGATCTCGTTGCGCTGCAGCCTGGTGATGAAGCAAAGAGCTTGGAACTGACTCTGTCCCCTTTCCAGTTCCCCAAGGATCAGGGCTCGGAATATCTTCACCTCCTGCGAGAGAAGAAATGCTTCTCGGTGAGCCCTTTGATTCGGCAGACAAGGAAAGCCCAGCGCTTTGACCTGTCTCAAGGTCTTCCCCTCATGGCGGTGGAGCCGGCGTTGAAATTTGGACCATGATGCAGCATTGAAGAATACCAGGTGGCAAACCTATCCTGGAAACCCAACTACCAACCTTGGCAGCTAACTAGAGCCTAAGAGGACGTTGGCAGATGATTCTTCTTCCTTTGGGGCTTCTCGGCAAAGAGAAGTCTACCTGTGACAGGAAGTAGCTCATAAATGACCAGGACAAGTTACTGCTAAATGAAAGGGAGGGAGGGAGGAAAGGTCTATGGAGATTCTCAGTCCTCCAGGTCATAGTTATCCCAAAGATACTTTTTCACGAGGCAACTGGACTTTCTTGTTTTTCTTTGAAGACATTTTGCTTCTCATCCAAGAAGCTTCTTCAGTTCCCCCATCATCCAGTCAGAACTGAAGAAGCTTCTTGGATTAGAAGTGAAACGTCTTCAAAGAAAAACAGTTGCCTTGTGAAAAAGCATCTTTGGGAGAAAGAAAAGGAAGGGTGAGGGAAGGAAGGAAGGAAGGTAGGTAGGTAGGAAGGATGGATAAGAGGAAGGAAGGTGGGAAGGAAGGAAGGAAGGAAGGAAGGAAGGATGGATAAGAGGAAGGAAGGAAGATGGGAAGGAAGGAAGGAAGGATGATGGATAAGAGGAAGGAAGGTCGGAAGGAAGGAAGGAAGGAAGGANATTCTCTTCAATCTGATCTAGATTGAAGCAACCTAGAACCAAGGAGAAATTTCCTGACAGTGTGGACAATTAATCAGTGGAACAACCTGCCTCCAGTGGGTGTGAATGCTCCAACACTGGAGGTTTTAAAGAAGAGATTGGACAGCCATTTATCTGAAATGGTATAGGATTTCCTGCTTGAGCAGGGGGGTGGGCTATATGACAGTGGTGGAGAACCTACGGCACGGGTGCCAGAGATGGCACTCAGAGCCCTTTCTGTGGGCACGCACGCCATTGCCCCAGACCCGCCTCCCCTCACAGCCCTCTCCCCAGCAGCCCCCCCAGAGGAGAGTCGCCCCTGAGCGCAGCCCGTGTGGAGTAGCGCAGCCAAGGACATGGCAGCTGGGCAGCGGGTACAAGTCTTTGCCCTTGCACCCGTTGCGCGCAGTTAATGCTGTGGGGCGCAGGTGGAGGGCATGGCTGCCATGGCACTGCTGGGCCGCCTGGGTGTTCTGTGACGGGTCGTGGAGGTGGTGGGTGGCCCTGCGGGCGGGCAGTTCGGGGGAGGGTGGGGGGTAGTTTTTGGGCACTCGGTCTCTAAAAGGTTCGCCATCACTGCTATAAGACCTCCAAGGTCCCTTCCAACTCTATTATTGTTATTGTTGTTGTTGTTGTTGTTGTTGTTGTTCTTATTATTATTATTATTATTATTATTATTATTATTTTCCTCTCTTTTCCCTGTCACCGGATGACTAGGGATTGGGGCTCCTCTCTTGAGTACAGAATTTTGGACCAGTTCCTTCATTGCCCTGTGCGTTTTGCAGGACTTCCAAATAGAAAAAGCAGGGGAAAGAATGGCCAATCTGTTTAAGAAAGGACGGAGGTGAGCCTTCATTTGAAGAAGTGCGAGACGGCTACGATTCTTTCAAGGGCCCCCCCAGGGCCCCCTCTTCCTAGGGTGGGTCTCTTTACAGAGGCTGTTTTGCCACTGCAGCGTTTCCTGCACTGACAGGGAGGTGATGCAACTTTGCAAATCATTCCGGGAAATTTCGCACAGAAGGCGGCAGCTTCCCAAATAATTTTTTTTTTTTACCTTTGGAAGCACAGGATGTATTTTAAATATTACAAGAACAGTCAAAGGGACATCCAACTTCAACTTAAACATTTTTTTTTCTAAAAAGAAGAGTTTTAGTCAAGCATTTGCTCTGGGATCCACCAGGGGGCCCCTATTCTTACACATTCTCACCACCGATATTAATAACTAGGCTGATTTGTCATAAAATAAATAAAAAGGAAACGACCCCAACAGCCAGGCCTGGAGACCTCTTGGCACGCCTGGCCTTCTGCAGAAAACTGACTCAGTTCTCCAAAGAATCACAAGGGATGCAGACTGTGGCTTAAAGTTAAATCTCATCCTGGCTGCGACGCGTATGAACTTTCCTCCGGCTTACCTGTCTCAGTTTGGCCATGGATTCGCTGGGGATGATCTCGTTGCGCTGCAGCCTGGTGATGAAGCAAAGAGCTTGGAACTGGCTCTGTCCCCTTTCCAGTTCCCCAAGGATCAGGGCTCGGAATATCTTCACCTCCTGCGAGAGAAGAAATGCTTCTCGGTGAGCCCTTTGATTCGGCAGACAAGGAAAGCCCAGCGCTTTGACCTGTCTCAAGGTCTTTCCGTCATGGCGGTGGAGCCGGCGTTGAAATTTGGACCACGATGCAGCATTGAACAATACCAGGTGGCAAACCTATCCTGGAAACCCAACTACCAACCTTGGCAGCTAACTAGAGCCTAAGATGACGTTGGCAGATGATTCTTCTTCCTTTGGGGCTTCTTGGCAAAGAGAAGTCTACCTGTGACAGGAAGTAGCTCATAGATGACCAGGACAAGTCACTGCTAAATGAAAAGGAGGGAGGGAGGGAGGGAGGGAGGGAGGGAGGAAGGAAGGAAAGGTCTATGGAGATTCTCAGTCCTCCAGGTCATAGTTATCCCAAAGATACTTTTTCACGAGGCAACTGGACTTTCTTGTTTTTCTTTGAAGACATTTTGCTTCTCATCCAAGAAGCTTCTTCAGTTCCCCCACCATCCAGTCAAAACTGAAGAAGCTTCTTGGATTAGAAGTGAAACATCTTCAAAGAAAAACAGTTGCCTTGTGAAAAAGCATCTTTGGGAGGAAGAAAAGGAAGGGTGAGGGAAGGAAGGAAGGAAGGAAGGTAGGTAGGTAGGAAGGATGGATAAGAGGAAGGAAGGTGGGAAGGAAGGAAGGATGGATAGGAGGAAGGAAGGAAGGTGGGAAGGAAGGAAGGAAGGATGATGGATAAGAGGAAGGAAGGTCGGAAGGAAGGAAGGAAGGAAGGATGATGGATAAGAGGAAGGAAGGAAGGAAGGATGGATGATGGATAAGAGGAAGGAAGGTGGGAAGGAAGGAAGGAAGGAAGGAAGGAAGGATGATGGATAAGAGGTAGGAAGGTAGGAAGGTAAGAAGGAAGGAAGGTAAGAAGGAAGGAAGGAAGGAAGGAAGAAAGAAAGGAAGAAAGAAAGGAAGAAAGAAAGGAAGGAGGGGAGGGACTGTGATGGAAGAAAAGAAAACTAAATCTAATTTTGCCTTTCCTGAATTTCCACACTCATCACTGAAAGACACAATTAAATACTATGCAAATCACCAAATTATATATTTTTTTAATTAAAAATCCCAACGGGATTGCAAAACACCAATTAAACTGAAGCAAAGTCTCTGGAACTGCCAGTCTGTTCCCCCCCCCCCCTTTCTTCCTCCAGCTCCTTCTTAAGCAGAGAACTATCTTGAAATCTCAAGGTAGGTCGAGGGACTCCCTGAAATGTCACAAGACACCACCGTGAGATGCCCTTGCGTTGTGTTATGACGCGTCCTTTCTCAGCTGTCGTCCCTCACAAATCCTGCAGAATCCCAGGCACTTGGCTAACGGATTCGAAATCTAGTAACCCTCCTAAAGGTTGACTAAGCCCTTCCTGGAGATGAATCGTCCCTTCCAGACATTCGTGTCCCATGGCTGAGTCACTGTCTCCGTTCCCATGAATCGCAACGAGGAGCCACACAAAAGAGGAAACATCTGGACGCCTCACAGCTGAGATCTGGCAGGCTGCATTTGTGAAGACGCAGGAGGCCAAGAGCTGCCACGCACACACTCACACGAAGACCCAGAAAGCTCCTCCTGTGAGCTAAGCTGAAAAGCCATGTGGAGGGCCATCAAGTCCTACGCTTGCAAGTTTTCACACAAGTCTCTCCACCTAGGACAGGGGTCTTCAAACGTGGCCCTTTTATGACTTGTGGACTTCAACTCCCAGAATTCCTCAGCCAGGCATGCGTGCCTGGCTGAGGAATTCTGGGAGTTGAAGTCCACAAGTCATAAAAGGGCCACGTTTGAAGACCCCTGATCTAGGACAACGTATCCTTGTCATGTTTCTACAATACTTTCCTGCTAGAGCCTGTAGCCCCTGACACCCACTGTAGGTGGAAGACTGCAGGGAGGAAATGTTGCGTTACGCACACACTGCTGTGGAAATCTGGAGCTTAGCCTTCAATATAACTCTGGTATTTCCAGGAAGGGAGAGGAATCATATTCAGTGACTGCCAATCTTTTCTGCAAACGTTCTCCAGAGCTACCCACAAACCGGCACTGCAAGGGAGGCCTGGGTGCAATTAAACAAATTTCAACAGACAGCGCTAAGCTCTGCCTTTTCCACCCCACCCTCCAAGGAGTCCTTGGCTTAGCGTCACTTGTCTAGCAGCCAATAAAGGAGAATATTTGCAGCTCAGAGTTGAGATGAGGCTTTGCAAGAAGCTGTAACTTTGGTGCATGCACACACAGACAAATAAACGCACCTCCCCTCTTTGTAATTCTGCAATCCAAATGCACGTTTTGGAGCTTGCTAATAAGGCATTATTTAGCTGGGGTGGGCTAACCCCAAACCTGGAAATGAAAGTCCGGCTTTTCCAACTGACCCCTTGGTTCCTTCGACTGGAAAGAATTTGCAGCAACCTAATTCCATCTGACATATGTCAGGAAGCATGAAGTGCAGTGAATGTACAATATAGAAAAAAGTTTCTCTGCTTCTCCTCACCCCCCACCCCCATAACAGATGTCCAGGCTGATTGATCAATTGGGAATGCAACCGAATCACAGCCAATCTCTCCCCCCCCTACCCTGCTCTGAGTAGGTATTTCTGATGGACAAGTGGTCCTTTATTAAGTCACACTTTCTAAGCAAACAAGTATAAAAAAAAATAGACACACACAGCAGCCAGAAATAAGGAAATCAACAACAACAAAAAATGGAATAAATGGAAGCATTTCTTGGAACTTGGGCTCATGTTAAAAAGCTCAGCGAAGTGGCTGTTTTGCACATATCGGAGGTCACCAGGAAACCCTACAGCTGCTAGTTAGTTTGGGAAGTTGAAAAATAAAATCAGAAGAAGGCAATAGTCTAATGTTTCTCAGCTTCGACAACGTTAAGCTTTATGGACTTCAACTCCCAGAATTCACCAGCCAGCCAGCCAGCCAGCCATGCTCGCAGGGGAATTCTGGGAGTTGAAGTCCATGCAGCTTAAAGTTGTCACCGTTGAGAAACACTGCAGAAGACTACCACTAAGGAAAATGCATGGACCTATCCCTGAAGTCACCAGTTGAGCTCAGCTAGAGAGACTCTGCATCTGATAAATGGATACGCTCATGCGGGCAGTCCTCAACCTACAACGGTTTGTTTAACGTCCGTTCAAGTTACAAAAGCACCGAAAGTGACTTATGACTGGTTCTCACTTACGACCACCAGAGAACCCCCGCGGACCTATTTTGGACAAGGGTTGTGACAGATGATGGACTAGAAAAGCAACTACAAACACCAAGGTATGTAGCAAGGTTGAGGGAAGCAGAAGGGGAGGTAGAGGACAAGGTAAATTGCTGACATCAAGGAGAGCGTAAGAGCCTTCTTGGAAGAGTTATGGATTACTGGTGGAAAATGAAACCATTAGCATTGTCTATATAGCTGTCAGGGGTCCCGTCTGATCCAAGAGCACCTCACTAATCCTTCAAAGAGGACTTATTGGTGAAAAACCCCCATGTTTCTGGCATTTCTGGTGTCTCTCTCATGTTCAAGATGTTGTTGAAGGTTCTACCCAAAGTGAGATCCAGAGGGTCCGTGGAAAGCCCTTGCTAATGTCTTGTAACTGAACTGGTGCAATTTAATCCTTGCAAGACCAAGAATGGACAGGGAAGACAATGTGCTTCCTCCAGCCAGCGCTAATGTCCCTGAGGATTGCTGAAACTATTCTTGCCTTAAAAGGTCAGGGATCCCTAAAGCGTGTCCCTTTGGATCCCTCATGGATAGGAGGCCGATGGGCCTTTCCCTTCCCCACAGGACACGCCTCCTTTCCCACCCCCTGTGATTCTTCTCTCTCTGCACTGCCAAAAGTGTGTGTGGGGGGGGCTTTGCAACATGGCTAACCCAATTTTAAATATTTACAGATTTCTCTGCGTGCAGAGAGATTTATAGGCTGCAGGCAACTGGGCTGGACCTGGAGTAAACAGGAAGGCTGCAGAGAAACTTTTTGCATGTGGGTGGTTGCTAGCATCTTGTGCAATGTGTGTGTGTGTGTGTGTGTGTGTATGTAGAAGAGGCCAAGAGCATCACAATAATGCAGAAGGAAGAGTGGAGGAAGCAAAGGAATATGAAGAGCAAAAAAGAAGAACAGGCCAACTGCAAATAATAATAATGATAAAGTTGGAAGGGACCTTGGAGGTCATCTAGTCCAACCCCCTGCTCAGGCAGGAAACCCTATACCATTTCGGACAAATGGCTGTCCAGTTTCTTCTTAAAAACTTCCAGTGTTGGCGCATTCACTGCTTCTGGAGGCAGGTTGTTCCACTGGTTACTTGTTCTAACTGTCAGGAAGTTTCTCCTTAGTTCTAGGTTGCTTCTCTCCTTGATTAGTTTCCATCCGTTGCTTCTTGTCCTGCCTTCAGGAGCTTTGGAGAATAGCTTGACCCCCTCTTCTTTGGGGCAGCCCCTGAGATATTGGGACACTGCTATCATGTCCCCCCTCGTCCTTCTCTTCGTTAAACTAGACATACCCAATTCCAGCAAATCATATATTTGGGAACAGAAAGAAACTGATTTTGCCTTATGTGACAAACAGGAAAAATGAGATGACGAGATGTGTTTTATTTTAGATATAAATGTTATCGAGATTATTGTGATATAAAACACAACCGAAGGCTGCAGTACCGTACAGGCTGAAATTTTGGGCTCAGTTGTGGACGTAAGCAAAGGACTACCTATATACATATTTTTGTGATACCAGGAATCCTGTTTCCTGTTTTTTTAAATTGTGATATGCTTTTCCATGATGGTTTACAGACTTTCTGCCTTACTGAGAAAGTGGGGATTTTTAAGCAACGACACTCAAGAGAAGGTGCGCTTCTTCTCCCCCCCAACCCTTTAAAATTACATTCTCACAAAGGCTGAGCATTACTAACTTTACACGCATACAGTATACACCCCATTCCTGCAGGGAAAATCTGCTAAAGGGACTTTATTTCTCACGAGTTTCCTTATT